ACAAAACTCAAAAATCCCCCAACGAAACTTAACTAAAATCCCCGTGCCCATAACACAACCCACAAGGTACAAACATATCTACTCAAAATGAAAAACAACACAGCAACACACTCACAAAGCGGCAAAAGAACAAAACTCAAAAAAACCCCAACGAAACTTAACCAAAATCCCCGTGCCCATAACACAACCCACAAGGTACAAACATATCTACTCAAAATGAAAAACAACACAACAACACACTCACAAAACGGCAAAACAACAAAACTCAAAAATCCCCCAACGAAACTTAACCAAAATTCCCATGCCCATAACACAACCCACAAGGTACAAACATATCTACTCAAAATGAAAAACAACACAGCAACACACTCACAAAACGGCAAAACAACAAAACTCAAAAATCCCCCAACGAAACTTAACCAAAATCCCCGTACCCATAACACAACCAACAAGGTACAAACATATCTACTCAAAATGAAAAACAACACAACAACACACTCACAAAACGGCAAAACAACAAAACTCAAAAATCCCCCAACGAAACTTAACTAAAATCCCCGTGCCCATAACACAACCCACAAGGTACAAACATATCTACTCAAAATGAAAAACAACACAACAACACACTCACAAAACGGCAAAACAACAAAACTCAAAAATCCCCCAACGAAACTTAACCAAAATCCCCTGTGCCCATAACACAACCCACAAGGTACAAACATATCTACTCAAAATGAAAAACAACACAGCAACACACTCACAAAACGGCAAAACAACAAAACTCAAAAATCCCCCAACGAAACTTAACCAAAATCCCCGTGCCCATAACACAACCCACAAGGTACAAACATATCTACTCAAAATGAAAAACAACACAACAACACACTCACAAAACGGCAAAACAACAAAACTCAAAAATCCCCCAACGAAACTTAACTAAAATCCCCCGTGCCCATAACACAACCCACAAGGTACAAACATATCTACTCAAAATGAAAAACAACACAACAACACACTCACAAAACGGCAAAACAACAAAACTCAAAAATCCCCCAACGAAACTTAACCAAAATCCCCGTGCCCATAACACAACCCACAAGGTACAAACATATCTACTCAAAATGAAAAACAACACAACACACTCACAAAACCGCAAAACAACAAAACTCAAAAATCCCCCAACGAAACTTAACCAAAATCCCTGTGCCCATAACACAACCCACAAGGTACAAACATATCTACTCAAAATGAAAAACAACACAGCAACACACTCACAAAACAGCAAAACAACAAAACTCAAAAATCCCCCAACGAAACTTAACCAAAATCCCCGTGCCCTTAACACAACCCACAAGGTACAAACATATCTACTCAAAATGAAAAACAACACAACAACACACTCACAAAACGGCAAAACAACAAAACTCAAAAATCCCCCAACGAAACTTAACCAAAATCCCCATGCCCATAACACAACCCACAAGGTACAAACATATCTACTCAAAATGAAAAACAACACAACACACTCACAAAACGGCAAAACAACTGAGCATGCGCATTGGCGCCCAGCTGCAAGTTCCATCGCGCGCGCACATGGCCTTCCGGCCAACGTTCCCTCTGCGGAAACCATGCCCACTCCAAGCCCCGCCGCGCCGCTTCCCGCACAAACACACACACACACCCTGCCGCACACACACACGCAACCCCACGCTCCATCACTCCCCCCGCTGCCGCACACACACACGCAACCCCACGCTCCATCACTCCCCCCACCGCCGCACACACACGCAACCCCACTCCCCCCCGCCGCACACACACACGCAACCCCACTCCCCCCGCCGCCGCACACACACACGCAACCCCACGCTCCATCACTCCCCCCGCCGCACACTCACACGCAACCCCACGCTCCATCCCCCCCCCCCGCCGCCGCACACACACACGCAACCCCACGCTCCATCCCCCCCCCCGCCGCACACACACGCAACCCCACTCCCCCCGCCGCCGCACACACACACGCAACCCCACTCCCCCCGCCGCCGCACACACACACGCAACCCCAGGCTCCATCACTCCCCCCGCCGCCGCACACACACATGCAACCCCACGCTCCATCACTCCCCTGCCCCAATCTTACCTCCTTTTACTTCAGGCCACCTCCAAACCCCACCCCGCCCCTTCCCGCCCTGTCAAAATCTAGGAAAGACAGGAAGGAAGGAAAGAAGGAAGAAAGAGAAAGGGAGGTAAAGAAAAAAGGGGAAGGAAGGAAAGTTAGAGGAAGAAGAAAAGGAAAGAAAAGGAAAGATGGAAGGAAAGAAAAGAGAGACAGCAGAAGAGAAAAAAAAGGGGAAGGAAGGAAAGAGATAGAGAAGGAAGAGGAGAAGGAAAGATGGGAAGGAAGGAAGGAAGGAAGGAAGGAAGGAAGGAGGAAGGAGGGAAAGAAGGAGAGAAAGAGGGAAGATTGGCCACAGCAACACGTGGCGGGTAAAGGTTGTTATTTCTATTATGATGATGATGCTATTCTTCCTATGAGACCCTTTTAGGGGGAATGGTTGAGGTGTCAGGTCCCAGAGGCAATGCATTGCATTATTGTTATTGTTATGATGGTGGTGAAATAAAAGGAAATAAAAAGTGAAAGAAGGAAGCAAACAGGGAGGGAAGAAAGGCAAAGGAAGAAAGGGGGAGGGAATGAAGGAAAGAGAGAAGGATGAAACCAAGTAGTGAAAGAAAGAAAGAGGTAGAGAAGGAAGAAAGGAGAGAAAGGGGGAGGAAAAGGGGGAAGGAATAGGTAGGGACCTCTCTTTCATAATAGTCCAGATATCTACCTCAACTTTGATAAGTTTTACTATAGGCCACAGCAACGCGTGGCAGGGCACAGCTAGTAACACAATAAAAACCAGGGCCGGGCCAAGTGATGGGTACAGATTAAAAAGTGCTGGGTGTGACAGGTGGCATGTTGGATTCCTGGGCAAGTGCAATGTGCAGAAAATCTTAAACCCTAATAAAGTGCTTCTGGGACATAGTGCTGGGGTTTTCCTATTCCGGAAAGGCACATCGGAATAGCCAGGTCTTCAAGTTTTTCCTAAAGACAGCCAACGTGATGTCTTTGGGGAGGGTGTTCCAAAGTCAGCTTTTATATATATCGGTTTTTCCCATCTTTCGGCATCTTGGAAGCTTTGTGCTCGGTTCCGGCCACCAGGTGGTTGGGTGGTGTGCTGTCGATCCATCTCCCTTCTTTCACCTTGATTAGAAGGCTCCTCAGCTCCTCCTCGCTTCGGCCATCGGAGTGGTGTCATCTGCATATCTGAGGTGGTTAATGTTTCTTCCAGCAATTTTCACCCCAGCTTTGCATTCATAAAGCCCCGCACATCGCATGATGTGTTCTGCATACAGGTTAAAAAGGTATTGAGTATTAGACGGGTATTGGGCGTGATTCAGATAGGTAGTGGGCGAGGCTTAGCTGCCTGAGCCTTGGTTGAGGCGGTGGGGCGGGGCTTAGACGGGCAATGGGCGTGACTCAGATGAGTAGTGGGCGGGGCTTAGCTGCCTGAGCCTTGGCATTGACTTAACTGAGGCGTCCGGGCAGGGCTTAAACTGCGAGTAGGCATGGCTTAGGCGGGCACTGGGCGTGACTCAGATAAGCAGTGGGCGGGGCTTAGCTGTCTGAGCCGTGTCACTTTATTTTGTTGTGTCAGAGCAACCAGTCCATTATACATTACATTTCTAACAGAACAAAGCAAACAGACAGAAAAATACACATCTTGTGAGTTTGGTAGTTGGTTAAATGTCCTTTGACCAGTATCTGGCCACTTGGAGTGCCTCTGGTGTTGCTGCAAGAAGGTCCTCCATTGTGCATGTGGCAGGGCTCAGGTTGCATTGCAGCAGGTGGTCAGTGGTTTGCTTTTCTCCACACTCGCATGTCGAGGATTCCACTTTGTAGCCCCATTTCTGAAGGTTGGCTCTGCATCTCGTGGTGCCAGAGCGCAGTCTGTTCAGTGCCTTCCAAGTCGCCCAGTCTTCTGTGTGCCCAGGAGGGAGTCTCTCATTTGGTATCAGCCATTGGTTGAGGTGCTGGGTTTGAGCCTGCCACTTTTGGACTCTCGCTTGCTGAGGTGTTCCAGCGAGTGTTCTCTGTAGATCTTAGGAAACTATTTCTTGATTTAAGTCGTTGACCCATCTAAAACACAGACATGTGCCTTTCATCTCAAGAACAGACAAGCATCCGAGCTCTGAAGATCACCTGGGAAGGAATCCCACTGGAGCATTGCAGCGCACCCAAATACCTGGGAGTCACTCTTACCATGCTCTTACCTACAAGAAGCACTGCCTGAACATCAAGCAAAAAGTGGGTGCTAGAAACAATATCATACGAAAGCTGACTGGCACAACCTGGGGATCCCAACCAGATACAGTGAAGACATCTGCCCTTGCGCTGTGCTACTCTGCTGCTGAGTATGCATGCCCAGTGTGGAACACATCTCACCACACTAAAACAGTGGATGTGGCTCTTAATGAGACATGCCGCATTATCACAGGGTGTCTGCGCCCTACACCACTGGAGAAATTACACTGCTTAGCCTGTATTGTACCACCTGACATCCGCCGGGAAGTAGCAGCCAATAGTGAAAGGACCAATTCAGAGACATCTCCAGCTCATCCCTTGTTTGGGTATCAGCCAGCACGCCAACGACTTAAATCTAGACATAGTTTTCTAAGATCTACAGAGACACTCGCCGGAACACCTCAGCAAGCGAGAGTCCAAAAGTGGCAGGCCCAAACCCAGCACCTCAACCAATGGCTGATACCCAATGAGAGACTCCCTCCTGGGCACACAGAAGACTGGGCGACTTGGAAGCCTTGTCACTGACTTGGCTGAGGCTGCGGGGCGGGGTTTAGACTGGGAGTAGGCGAGGCTTAGGCGGGCACTGGGCGTGACTCAGATTAGTAGTGGGCGGGGCTTGGCTGCCTGAGCTTGCTTTTCTTTGCCTCTATTCCAGGCAGCCTCGCGCAGGCCCCGCCTCCTCCCTCCTCGGTATAAAAGCGCTCGGAGCCCTTTCCGGGGCGCAGATGGCGCGCCGCAGGGCAGGGGAGAGTGTGCTTTTTTTGCCTTGAAGCGCCTCTCTCGCTCGTTCTCTGGAACCGCAGCGATGCCCGGCTTGGAAACGGCGCCCCCTGCCGACGAGCCCCTGCGGAAGGAAGACGCGGAGCCCGAGGCCTCCTCCTCCTCCTCATCATCCCGGGAGCTGGCTGTGCGCGCCTCTTCCAACTCGTCCTCGCTGCCGGCCGCGGTGCGCGCCGCGCTGGAGCTGGCCGAAGCCCGCCGCCGGCTGCTGGAGGCGGAGAGCCGGCGGCGTGTGGTGTCGGAGCTGGAAGTGCGCGCCCACCAGCTGCACCGCGTCTTCCTGGAGGCCGAGCGCCGCCTGGTCCACCGCGCCGAGGGGTTGGGGCGCCTGGGCGGAGCGGCGGCGCAGGCCGAGCTGCAGCTGGCCTCCCGCGGCGGGCAGCGCCTCCGCAAGGGCCTCCGCCGCTGCAAGAAGGTCCGCCCGCCCGCCCTCCTCGCCTCCGCCCTCGGCCTTGGAGGGTGCGCGCCCTGGGCTGACTGGCGGCGGAGGCAACAGCAGGGACCTGAGTCGCCCTTCCGCCGTCGCCCCGCCCACGCCCGCCCGGCAGAGGGACCCCCCGCCAGTGCTTGAGAACCAGGAGCCCCCCAGTCTGCCAGAGGGAGATTGGGAAGCACAGGCAAGAAGACAACATCCAAACCCTCCCGACAGAGGGCCATCCCACTACTGCTTAAGCACCTTTTGGAGAAGGAGAAGCCCCCAAATCATCCTCCAAGCACAGCCTTCCAAAGTGGGATGAGGAATCGTTGAGTCATATGCCCCCAATGGCCACCCAGTCCACCCCAATTCCAACAGTCGAGAAGACACTATTGAAACCCTCCTGACAGAGGGCCATCCCATTACTGCTTCAGCGCCTCCGGAGAACAAGTAATCCCCAAATCATCCTCCAAGCACAGCCTTCCAAAGTGGGATGAGGAATCATGGAGTCATATGTCCCAATGGACACCCAGTCCACCCCAATTCCAACAGTTGAGAAGACACCATTGAAACCCTCCTGACAGAGGGCCATCCCACTACTGCTTCAGCGCCTCCGGAGAACAAGGAATCCCCAAATCATCCTCCAAGCACAGCCTTCCAAAGTGGGATGAGGAATCATTGAGTCATATGCCCCCAATGGCCACCCAGTCCATCCCAATTCCAACAGTCAATAAGACACCATTGAAACCCTCCTGACAGAGGACCATCCTTCTACTGCTTAAATACCTCTGGAGAACAAGTAATCCCCAAATCATCCTCCAATCACAGCCTTCCAAAGTGGGATGAGGAATCATGGAGTCATATGCCCCAGTGGCCACCCAGTCCACCGCAGTTCCAACAGTCGAGAAGACACCATTGAAACCCTCCTGGCAGAGGACCATCCTACTGCTTAAGCACCTCCGGAGAACAAGGAATCCCCAAATCATCCTCCAAGCACAGCCTGCCAAAGTGGGATGAGGAATCATAGGCTATCTAGTCCACCCCATATTCAAGGGGGCAAGAAGACGCTATCAAAACCCTCCCGACAGAAGGCCGTCCCGCTATTGCTTCAGCGTTTCCGGAGAAGGAGAAGCCTCCAAGCCTTCCAAAGTGGGATGAGGAATCATAGGATCATAAGCCATCCAGTCCAACCCCTATTCTAACAGGCAAGAAGACACCATCCAAACCTTCCCAGCAGAGAGCCGCCCTGCTACTGCTTAAGCGAGAAGCCCCCCAACTCACCCTCCAAGCACAGCCTTCCAAATTGGGGTGAGGAATTATGGAGTCATAGGCCCCAATGGCTATCCAGTTCACACCCATTCTAACAGGCAAGAAGGCACCATCAAAACCCTCCCAACAGAGGGCCATCCCGCTACTGCTTCAGCACCTCCAGAAAAGGAGAAGTTGCCCTTCAAGCACAGCCTTTCAGGAGCCCCTGCGATGAGGAATCATGGAGTCAAAGGCCCCAAGGATCATCCAGTCCATCTCAATTCTAATGGGAATGAAGGCACCATCAAAACCCTCCTGACAGATGGCCATCTAGCTTAAACATTTCCAGAGGAGACTCCACCCAATAGGAGGAAAGGCCGCCCTGAAATTCCCCGAGGAAACTCCCTGAATCGCCTTAGGATCATAAGTCATCCAGTCCAAACCCCATTCTAACAGGCAAGAAGGCATCATCCAAACCCTCTCAGCAGAGGGCCATCCTGCTACAGCTTAACTACTGCTTAAGCACTTTTCAGTGGTGTAGGGCGCAGGCATCCTGTGATAATGCAGCACGCCTCATTAAGAGCCACATCCACGGTTTGAATGTGGTGAGATGTATTCCACACTGGGCATGCGGACTCAGCAGCAGAGTAGCAAAGCGCATGGGCAGATGTCTTGACTGTGTCTGGTTGTGATCCCCAGGTTGTACCAGTCAGCTTTCGTATATTATTTCTGGCACCCACTCTTTGCTTGATATTCAAGCAGTGCTTCTTGTAAGTCAGGGCTTGGTCCAGAGTGACTCCCAGGTATTTTGGTGTGCTGCAATGCTCCAGTGGGATTCCTTCCCAGGTCATCCTCAGAGGTCAGGATGTTTGTCTGTCCTTAAGGTGGAAAGCACGCATCTGCATTTTAGCTGCAGTAGGAATCAGCTGATTTTCCCTGTAATAGGCAGTAAGAGGACATAAAGCGTTGGAGAGCTTCTGTTCAACCATTTCAAAGCTCCCTGCTTGAGCAGTGATGGCACAGTCGTCAGCGTAGAGGAAACTCTGTCCCTTCTGGCAGTGGCCGATCATTTGTGTAAATGTTAAACATTGATGGGGTAGCAAAACGGAAGGGCAGATGTCTTGACTGTGTCTGGTTGTGATCCCCAGGTTGTGCCAGTCAGCTTTCGTAGGATATTTCTAGTGCCCACTTTTTTGCTTGATATTCAAGCAGTGCTTCTTATAAGTCCAGAGTGACTCCCAGGTATTTGGGTGTGCTGCAATGCTCCAGTGGGATCCCTTCCCAGGTAATCCTCAGAGCTTGAGATGCTTGTCTGTTCTTAAGGTTCTTATGCTTATATTGTCTTGTTAAATTTATGTTTATGTTGTTTACTTTGTATGTATTGATGATGTTACTTGGAAACCGCTCTGAGCCCCCTTGGGAAGATTACTTACTTACTTAGGCGATCTCTCGTAGTCCGAGGATGCTGGTCCTCCAAGTGTAGTATCCTGGGAGTGGGTCCGTATGTGACTGTGGAGCCCTATTCTTGATCTGCATGTTCTCCCACAGTGAGGCCATTGGTTTACAGGTGGAAGGCGGTCCCGGTCGGGGTTGGCTTGACGCACCTTCCTCTTGGCACGTTTCTCTCTTTCACCCTCCATTCGTGCCTCTTCAAATTCTGCAGCACTGCTGGTCGCAGCTGACCACCAGTTGGAGCACTCAAGGGTCAGGGCTTCCCAGTTCTCAGCGTCCATGCCAAAGCTTTTAAGGTTGGGTTGTTGTAGGTTTTTTGAGCTATATGGCCATGGTCTAGAGCAGGGGTCTTCAAACTTTTTAAACAGAGGGCCAGATCACAGTCCCTCAAACTGTTGGAGGGCCGGATTATAATTTGAAAAAAAAAAAATTCCTATGCACACTGCACATATCTTATTTATAGTGCAAAAACCCACTTAAAAACAATACAAAAATTAAAATGAAGAACAATTTTAACAAATATAAACTTATTAGTATTTCAATGGAAAGTGTGGCCCTGATTTTGGCTGATGAGATAGGCTTGTTATTGTTGTTGTTGTGTGCTGGCAAGTCATTTCAGACTTAGGTTGACCATGAGCAAGGGCCGGGTAAATGACCTTGGAGGGCCGTATTCGGCCCCCGGGCCTTAGTTTGAGGACCCCTTGTCTAGAGGCATTCTCTTCTGTCGTTTCGCCTGCATCTATGGCACGCAGCCTCAGAGGTATTGAGGTTGGCTTTGAGCCCATCTTTAAATCATTTTTTTTTCCTGTCCTCCAACATTCCTTTTTCCGTTTTTGAGTTCGGAGTAGAGCAACTGCTTTGGGAGACGGTGGTCGGGCATCCGGACAACATGGCCAGATAGAGCGGTCTATAAATAAAGTTTTGTTGTTGTTTTGTAAGGTGAAAAGCACACGTCTCCATTTTAAATGGATTAGGACTCAGCTAGTTTTCCTTGGAATAGGCAGTATGAGAGTGTTATGGGAGTAGTATGAGAGTATTTTGGGAACCAGTCATAGATGTTTTGCCTTATTGCGGAACATTTCATCACCTGCTTTCTGCAACTGAGCCTGGCCATTTGCCACCAGAAATGCAATTCGTGTGTATTGCTTTGACCTCTGATGGTGTCCTTTGGGAGCTCTCTGCGGCACGGTTTCTGAACACACCAGCAAGGGATCTGAGTAGCATATGAGAATGTCATTTTGGGGAGTAGAATCATAGAGTTGGAAGAGACCTCATGGGCCATCCAGTCCAACCCCCTGCCAGAAGCAGGAATATTGCATTCAAAGCACCCCTGACAGATGGCCATCCAGCCTCTGTTTAAAAGCTTCCAAAGAAGGAGCCTCCACCACACTCCGGGGCAGAGAGTTCCACTGCTGAACGGCTCTCACAGTCAGGAAGTTCTTCCTCATGTTCAGATGGAATCTCCTCTCTTGTAGTTTGAAGCCATTGTTTCGTGTCCTAGTCTCCAGGGAAGCAGAAAACAAGCTTGCTCCCTCCTCCCTGTGGCTTTCTCTCACATATTTATATATGGCTATCATATCTCCTTCTCTTCTTAAGGCTAAACATGCCCAGCTCCTCAAGCCGCTCCTCATAGGGCTTGTTCTCCAGACCCTTGATCATTTTAGTTGCCCTCCTCTGGACACATTCCAGCTTGTCAATATCCCTCCAGCTTGTCAATAGCCTCCACTACACTCTGGGGCAGAGAGTTCCACTGCTGAATGGCTCTCACAGTCAGAGTAGGACCACCAATCCCTCAGTATGACCAGTAGATATACTGCTGCAGGCTTTTAGGTCAGGAATCACTGGGTTGCTGTGAGCTTTCCATGCTGTATGGTCATGTTCCAGTAACACCAAAGTCCAGCCACATTTGAATGGATTATGCCAGTTCTTGAATCCATCATATGACGGGGAATCCTCACCATAAACCTGTTTAATCTCATCGAACGTCTCCTTTGGTGGGTGGCCTTTCAAGGAAAGGAAGTTGAGGACTGCTCCATCTTCCACTGGGTCCATTATCAAACCTCACACCACTTCAGCACCTGTAACATCCAGACCGTTATCAATTCAGAGTTGGAAGTTGGCACGGAACCTATCGAGACTTATATCATTGCACATGTGCAGTTTCAGCGTCCTGTGATAAATAGAAGTGGGTCAGGGGAAATCTTTAATGAACGCCCCTCGTAGTTGGATCTTCTCCTGGCCTGGTTTGCCTGCCATTTTAATCACAAGCACCTTGCTTCAAGAGAACTGCCTTAATTTTTCCTCCATGCATACGAATGCTTTCATTATTCACCATGGAAAGATTTCTAAGAGACTTCTAAACAAGCCAAGAGGGATACTGAATGGCCCCTTCTTGTCTGTTTTGAACTATTAACGCCTTAGGGACCGTTGCGAAGGAACTCATTTACTAATGATTGTATTACAACTCTTCCATGATTTTCTTTATAGCACTTAAATGT